AAGTACGTCGAACCAACATATGTCGAACCAACATATGTCGAACCATCATATGTGGAACCACCATATGTCGAACCAACACCGGTGCTGCCGGAAGAGCCTCCCCAGCCAAATCCCGCAGCTAGTGTGGAGGTGAAGACAAAATTCCCTGTCGCGCGCATTAAGCGCATTATGCAAGCCGACGAGGATGTTGGTAAGGTCGCGCAAGTGACCCCAATCGCTGTCTGTATGTGATGCGTTCCCTCTTCTATACCTCCGGGTTATTTAGGACGCGATGCTGACGCGTTTTTGGTTTATTTATAGCCAAAGCTCTAGAACTCTTCATGATCTCTCTTGTCACCAAGGCCGCAAAGGAAGCCAAAGACCGGAATTCGAAACGCGTCACCGCATCGCATCTGAAGCAAGCAGTCTCGAAAGACGAGGTATTAGATTTTCTGGCCGACATTATTGCCAAAGTGCCCGATCAACCCGCTGGAAGAAAGCACGACGACGATGGAAGTGATCAAAACGAACAACCGAAACGAAAGCGCGGAGGACGACGACCGAAAGACGACAGCGACTAGCTATAGACAATGGGTGTCGGCGTTACCTCTTTTTTTTCTTCTTTTTTTGTTCGCGCTTCATACTTCCTAACACCATAACCTCTTTTCTTTGCTTAAACGACTTTGATGGGCGATATCTTAGACTGGGATGGAGAGCGGGCGCATACTCTCTCGGCGTTGTGATGGCGGGCATGGTTTGATTTGCATCTCGCGATGTGAATAAGTACCCTTGGGTATTCTTCCTTTTGATTCTAGGCTTTTGATTCAGCACACTTTCGAACAATTCACTCAGTTATGAGTCGATCTCCAGCCCGTGGGCTTGAATGGTGATCGATACCGTATGGCATGTTGTCTATCATAGACCCCTTAGTAGTGGATGTAGATGCCTGAAAACGCTCACCTTCAGCTTTCATCATCAGTAGGTTCTTTAGTGATGGATAACAAGTCTGAACCAGCTAACTCGAAAGCTGCATCCATTACCCTTCCAATAAAGACTGCACCTAACTCGGTTACATCGAGCTGGGTGTATGAGGCATTTTGGGTACTGCGGACAATGAAGATATGGTATACTTCCCCATTGCCAGTTGACACACTGGCAGGATGAATGCAGGTAGTTGTATCCAATAAAGGATAATCTTCATATCACTCTAACGTAATATGATGAAGCATTCACTAGATACATCATATGGATCACGGTCATGTGATCACAGTATAGGCAAAAAATAGTTGCAAAGGTTGGGATTCGAACCTCCAATCTTTCGGTCAGTAAGGCTTCCCGTTCAGTACAAGAATTGCCTGCAAAGCATCCCATCCATTGCCGTAACTGACTCGACCATCTTGTCGTGAAGTGAGGAAACGCCAGGTAGTACTTCGAATTGTTTCATTCAAATGGCATTTGTGTCTTCCCTGTCACCTGTGGATGTCCCCTGTGCGACCATAAACACCACTGTTTAATCATGTATGCGGTTGAATAGTATCATGCTGTTCTCACGCAATCATGGATTTTGTAAGTTGATTCTTGCGTCTGAACTCTAAATTAGCAGTTTTACTTAATGGCCATTGGAATCAATTTAACTAATCTGCGATAGTGGTCTCGTTTAATCGGCGGATCCCGTTCGCTGTCTACCAAGACGTACCAGGCGAGCTCTCCTACCGAGCGATTGGCGGCCTTCAAGCGGACATGTAACACTCTGCAAGTACGCTCTCCTCTCATTGCGCCGCCTGTCGGGCCTCAACTAATTTTGTCCTTTGTAGCAAATCTGGCGCTCCACCAACTCGCCGACCGGAGATCAGTCTGCGACAACCCATGCGCGCAACTGCATTGACCGACTAAATTCCGTCCTCAGCGATGAATCTCGAGGTCCGGCTCCTCATCCGTGTTTAGCATACGCTGCATCTTCTCAGATCTTTGTGACCGTCACCAAACTCGCGCTGTCTTCTTACGACGATGGAATGCTCCGTTCCGCCGCTGTCTTCTTCAATACCCTGATCGATTCGGAGGTGGATGGAGTAGTCGATAACCGGCTTTTTGCGCGGGCGCTGGTGGATCTTGTCCGACGTGCAGACAAACACTCAGAAGATGTGGAAGGAAGGCTTGTTGAGCTGTTGTTTGGCGTCGCCAATAATATTCGTCTGCAACCTGATATTCTCCCAGCGTGGTTTGCTCCGAGGTCCGAAGACCAAGACCGCGAGCAACAGACCAATACTGGAGCTGAGTTCGCGGGTGCGACTCGGAAGGATGACTTCCCACTGTTCTACTTGTTAGTGGAATATGTTCACCATGGGGGCCGTGCGGGTGATTTTGCTCGGACCGGTCTTCTTTACCTGATCGAGACAGCATCTCGCTCAAAGAACCTTGAGAGATGGCTAATTGAGAGCGACCTTGCTACACTAATGGCAACGGGACTGGGTGCGCTGTATAGTCAGTTAGGCAGGTGAGTATCTCGTGAATCCCGGGTACTTCGGGCTATATTGATTGAAGTTGAAAGCCTGTCCTTCGATGAAACCTCCGACGAGAAGATGCCGCACATTGTTGCGCTATCAGATCATGCTAAACAAGAGACTGCTCTTCCCCCTGCACTGGGGGCAACTGTAGACTCTTTCATGTCGTACCTACTATTTTGGCAGGACACCATTGACCATTGCAAATCGGCAGAAGTCAACGGCACATTACTGGACCACTTTCAGGTCTTGTTTCTCGAACAACTTCTGTAAGCGAATTCCAAGCGGACTAGCTAAGTAGGCTAAGTAGTTGCTGATATGATCCTTCTGTGTAAACAGATACCCATCACTGCTCGAGTCCTCGGATGTTGAAGGTGGTTCTACCGCTGCCGTGCTTACCTACTTGTATCGCATTCTCGAGTCGATCAACCAGGATGATCTGGTTCATCGGATTCTTCACTTCTTACTAGCCTCACCTTCCGACATGGAAACTTCACCCACTTTGAAAGTGAACATGTCAGTAAGCCGGCGCAAGTCCCTGGACGTTCTAGCAGCTTTCTCGGAGGAAGCTGCGAAACCGTCACCTTCACTGTTTAACCTGAGAGACCTTGCCCTCCTAGGGCTGCAATCTTCCAATCGGCAAACTGTTTTGGCAACGCTACGGCTGATGGCGGTCATCCTCCAACGACATCATACTTTTGCCCGATCATTGATTCGGACGGTTCCTGGGCAATATGCTGGGCAACGAACCGTGGGGCAATTGAATGCAGAACTGGAGCAGCTTACAGGAATGGCCACGTCAATTGTGGATGACCCCACGCTGAATGACTCCTTTGATGACTACCTCAAGGATGCTTCATATATTTTAGAATCACATTTGTATATCCCACCGGCTGAAACTGGCCTGGAAGATGACTGCCCACTGGAGATTCGCCAAGAGGACCCTATTGTCCAGGAATTACTAAACTGTGTGGAGACATTTTTTACTAATAGCGTCATCGTCAACCTAGCATTAACAGAGGTTCTCATGAGTATCGCATCATCACACCTTATATCCCTTGACAGTTGGCTCCTTGTGGACCCATCTAAATACATATACGATGGTCCGACTACAGCTCAGGATGGACCTATAGAAATCCTAGATCAAATAAAGCTGGCCTATCAAGAACCCTCATTGTCGAGCTCCGAGACACCAACGCTCACGTCCGCACTGCAAAAGCTTGTGCAGCAAATCCAGCAATGGCGGAAGGATGTGCCAGATTTTGACATTCTAGTTGCGGCTCGGCGGGACCTACTCCATCAGGATGATCCTACGAAAGACATTGGCCGCCTTCAGCAACCATTTGAAGCAGCAACGCGTCTCCCTTCTGAACGACGACCACTGAAGATGCCCATGGACTCTGACATTGGGTCACCCCGAGGGAGGTCCTCCCTTGCACAGGAGACCCCGGGCACGCCATCTTCCCGACAAGCTGCCGTGGGCTCACCGCTTCGTGGATCCTCAGTTCGCTCTCCCGGTTCTCGGGGGTCCTCCTCACCTCGTACGACCGCAGCGGAGGAGCTTCGAAAGCGACTGGCGAAGCCATTCCAAGTGGACCATCCGCACAAAGCAACGGTGACTGGTGAAGAACCCGAGCCGACGGCAGATGCCGTGGCAGAAGGAGAGGCTGAGAGTGCGATTGCTGATGAGGAGCCGCGGTCAGCGACACTGGGGCATGTCTTAACCAACGTGGTCATACTGTACGAATTCCTCCTAGAGGTGTCTGCCACGGTGCAGGCGCGGAGCACTCTATTTGGAGAAGCGGGATACCCCGGGGTAGGCTGGAGTAGCCCGCTGGATGAATAGTTGTTATGATTTGTTGAATTTGTTTAATATTATTAACTATCCAACTACCCCATGGCATAGGCAGGTCCCTACAACCGGATGTATGTATGAGTCTAGACATTGTACATTTACATGAATTTTCAAGGCTGTTCGTGCTGGAACCATCTTCAGATATCACTTCAAAAGCTTCATTGGACTATATTCTTTGCTATTCCGTCGTGTTAGTAGCTGTACTGCCACTGAGACGCATTCTATTCACCACACTTCCAATTTTGCAGTACTTTCTCATAAACATAAGGGGAATCTCCCACCACCAACATCAGCATTCAGTGTAGGATATTGAGAGGCTAAACAAAGAATAATGGCTGCCATTCACTGTCTTTGTCCATCTTCAAATCAGCTGTACAGCTTATATAAAAGCTTTATCAGAGCCTTCCACTTCGCCCGGGATATATATATTAGTAATTCCTGTCTTACCCTCGAACGACCTCCTGTCAGTTTCTACCTGGCATCTTTACTCCTATCTACAGTCCTCACAATGCTGATACTATATATCGTGGCGCTTTTACTTTTCATTTGCTCCAATATACCTCCTCTTAGCTTGCCTTGACTACTCGTCGTCGCTCACATCTCACCCCGCCTTGCTCTTATTGTCCTCCGCATCAGTTTCGCTGTTCTAGCGGACCTCGTGGTCATTTCTCACGGCATCACCGCGTTGCTTTACCTATATATTCTCCGCATGCTTACTCGAACCCTTATAACTGCAGATTTGTCCATCATCAGACATGCAGTCTTTTTGGTTGGTCAGCAACGGCCATGGGCATTTTCCGAGAGTCCAATCCTTGTATGAATGGCAGGGTGATCTGGAAGGGACATGTCATATGTCCACACATTATTCCTGCAAGAACACCATAAGTTGGACCAACAAGAACAGAGAGACGAAAGAGAAAGACAGGAGAAACAGAAAGAGAGAAGAAACAGAAACAGAGACGAAGAAAGACGACTTCTTCTGAGCATGAGCCACTGTGACAACAAGTATCCAAGCAATACCCAAAGCTGATGTAAATGGTCATATACAACTGTTCATGTTCGTCCCTCTGCTTGGCACACCGCACAGTGGATCCTCGTGGCGGTGACACGAAGCACAAGTGCGACAGGTAGCAATTGAGAAGGTAGGTTCTCTTCTATCCAGTTTAGAATCAACACAAGGGAGAGAGAGAGATAGAGAGTTGGAACAGCCGCAAAACTTGAGAGCCCCTAAGCTGTACAAAAAGTCATCGACCACTCTGAGCAGAGGAATGTCTCCGATACCACTCCAGTTTGCTATTAGGCAGCTTGATGGCAAACTACGGCTTGCACAAATGTTCACTATGACCTGCCTCTTGGGGATTTCCTTGCCACATTGGCCACTGGGGATATGTGGACAGAGTTCTATTTACACGTTGCTATGGTGACATCATGACAATGGACCTGAGATTAAATGATTCATCAGCTGAATTACATTGAAGAAAGAATTAGTATCATTTCATGGACCTGTGTCAAGAAGATAAACGTCATTCCATACCCGGTTCATCTCAGCTTATGTATAGACTTAAATGAACTGTCCGGACGGCTGCTATTCCCGAGATCATCGTGATGTACATTTCTCAAACTTTCTTCAGCTTATTCACTCCTACATATGAGAGTTGCGCGACGTATCGACGTTCCCATTGCTCCGAAGGACGTCTTATACAATCGACGAGGGGAACAACTACCTAAAACAGTTTACCATGAATGATGGTGCCTTTTAAATGCAGCCGGCGCAGTACAGGGCATTGTCCCAGCTCTTATCAAGTTCTGGGTCAGAATGGGTGACTCGCCGTAACGCCAGAACAGCTTAGGGATGTTCCACCAACTGTTATTCTTAGCATAGAAACAGGCAAGCTCTGACTTTAATAGGAATATTAGGAAAGCTAATTGTTTTAATGATACTGGGTTTTGATGTATAAGAAGTATACCATCTAAAATAACCGAGTCATATCATGGCGCCTTGAAACGGCATTTCGATGTATGTGAAGTGAAGTTGGATCAATGCTGCAGGGAGCTGAGGTCCCGAGGACAGAGACGAATACTGGATCCATCAGGGTATGGGTTTGAACCTAATGGGGCAGGAGGAAAATTCGAAGGCCGCAAAATGAACATGGAGGTTGTGACGGGTAGAATCATGGAATTCACCAGCATCACGTTTCCCCGGACTGGTGATAGGAAACTTATGACTACTGATGTCTGCGTATAACAATGTCGGTGACGGGACGATTGCTTCGAAATTTGGCCTGAAGCATGAACGATCGTGAAATTTTCGTGATTGGAGATGATGAAACAACCGACGTGACTTTTATTTTCGCCGCTCGTTATCTGCCTCTCCTCCACAAGTTCATCTATGTGTCTCTAGGAGGTGAGTTGTGACCTTCAAGTTGCTATGGTCGGGGCAATAATTGAGCTGTCTAGCCACCTGAGGCTTTTCATGGATACTTTAAACTAATCTGTCATAACCAAATTGAGTCTCTAGCTTGATTTGTAACCAGGAATAGCTCCGCCGAGAAGTAAAACTATTGTGGGACAAAGATAGTTACAATTTTGTTCGCTGTCCAGATATCTCTATCGAAACCTTTACGTTTAAACAGGATGATTTACCCAGCGATAAACAATGGAGAAATCCTTCTGACCTTGAAGCTTGTAGCATCTGTCTCCTAGAGATCTTATCGAAAGTTGGAAGGTATAAATAGGTTACAGTCCTGATGCAACCCCTAACTCCACTCTCCCTGATGGCGGTGGTTTCCGCCCCTTCGCCTAAATGATTAGAAAACATTAAGTGAGATGCGAATCTCGCCAAAGGCCCACCGACTAAATACTCCCGCCACTCATCATCCTCATCATTCCTATTACACAGTACCAGCGGCAATTCTCCGTTGGAACGCGGCGGCATAATGACCCACTTCGGATGTTTGCGAGAGCTTGACTACTCCGGAGTGGTGTCAAGGTCCACAGTCTTGGTTACGGACTCGGTAGAAACCCCTCCTTCTCTTTCTCTCCTGCTTGTCCTTCCTCCTACCCTTCCATCTATCAGCCGGTAAATATAAAATGGAAGCATCCCCGACACCTCATCCGCTACTCCGGATCGGTACGCGACGATCCAACCTGGCCATGGTCCAGGCGGAGGGCATCCGTGATTGCCTGCAAAAGATTGCCCCGGATCGATCGTATGAAATTCAAGCCCTCCGCACGCAGGGTGATCGAGATCAGTTGACGGCGCTGTATAACTTTGGCGCCAAGAATCTCTGGACTACCGAGCTGGAGGAAAAGCTCAAATCCGGTGAACTAGATGTCATTGTGCACTGCCTGAAAGGTGATTAACAAAATATCATGTTCCCTCCTTCGCCATGATGCCCAATCTGCAAACCAAAGGCCAACTGTTGACCGGGGTTAGACATGCCGACGAGCCTTCCCGACTTCTGTGAGCTCGCAGCTATTCCGCCCCGTGATGATCCTCGGGACGCCTTGATTGTGAAGGCCGGCCTGCCTTACACGAACTTGCAGAGCCTCCCCGAGGGCGCTGTGGTAGGCACTTCATCCGTCCGGCGCTCAGCACAGCTTCGCCGTCTCTATCCCCATCTCCGCTTTGCCAATCTCCGCGGCAATGTCGAGACTCGTCTCGCTAAGGTGGACGACCCGGATAGTGAGTACACCTGTATGGTGATGTCTGCCGCGGGCCTTCACCGGGTAGGCCTCGATTATCGGATCAACCAATACCTCGGCTCTAAGGATGGGGGCATTCTCCATGCCGTCGGACAAGGCGCTCTAGGTTTGGAAATTCGCAAGGGAGACCGTAAGATGCAGGAATTGCTGGGCCAACTAGCTGACCAAAATTCCACTCTTGCTTGCCTCGCCGAGAGGTCTCTTATGAAAACCCTTGAAGGTGGATGTAGTGTCCCCATTGGCGTGGAAACAAAGTGGGTGTCTTCGGAAGACTTGAGCATGCACGCTATAGTTGTTAGCTTGGACGGTACTGAGAGTGTCGAGGACACCATTGTCTTGAAAGTCCAAACTGCGGATGAAGCAACGGCGCTCGGAAAAGAACTCGCGTCACGAATGGTCAATGCTGGTGCAGGGGAGATTTTACACAGCATCAATGCCAACAGGCCTCCCAAGGACTGATTATGGGTTACGTTTCAGAGCTCTCTTGCTGGTGCTTTTCGTACTCTACGGAGGGGGAAAGGAAACGGGATTTCTGTAGTTCTTTCTGGTCTATGATTCGTCTACACACGAAGAAAAGAATGTGAACTAAAGCTGCATATACACCTGTACATCGACAACAATGCTTCGCCAATTGTTGAAAATTACTTTTCGATGAGCCTCCAACACGCAGATGAACTCCGCGTGTTAGATCATACTTAGCCGGTGCGCCACAGCAGTCGTCGACTCGTCGTCCTTTCCATGACGCCTTATCCAGAGCCTCTTGCACCATCCCATCTCTGAGATTCGGCAACTGTGGCCACAACTACGTATATAAATATCGCCATGAGGATCATCCTTTTCATGAAGATTGAGCCAAAGATGGAGTACTAGTAGAACCCATTGAGCATTTCGATGGGTATGCACAAGGTATATACATACGAGGAAGCCAATCTATTTTTAATAATCTGAATGGACCTCAGCAGAGATGAGCAGAAAATACGGCCGATGCCTTTCATCCTTCCATTCGGGATGCTCCTCAACGTCATACTTCGAAGGAACCCAATCCTTCAATCCAGTCAAGACGAAGCCATTCTTGAGCAACGCAGTAACATAGGTCTCCACGGTTCGATGGTACTTTCTGACCCCATCAACACCCAGCCAGCTCGTCACACGCGGGCCCTCATCACTGTAGGAATTCAAAGGCCAAATCTTTCTATCCGCTCCATCGCCATCTTCGTTTGGCAGAACCTTCCAGTCAGGTTCTGGATTAACTGGACCTGTACAGATGGGATGTTCCACTGAAAAGATCAGTCTTCCTCCTTTCCTAGAACCATCCTCTGGGGCACCTTTCTTCAAGCAAAGTCGGATTTGCTGAAGCAATCTTGAGAAATCTTCGATGTAATGGAACGTCAACGAACTGTAGACTAGATCGTATGAGTCTGTGTCGGATGCGCTGAAGGATATCGTCTCAAGATCGCCGACTTCATAACATAGTGTCCCATAAGAAGGCGGAATATTTCCTTTTGCTTGCAGGCCCTTCTCGGACTCTTTAGCCCTCTCGATCATCTTTATCGATACATCCATGCCTTTGACATGTTTGGCTCCGTTTTCTCGAGCCCAGCGGGTGAACCAACCGTAACCGCAGCCTAGATCCAAAATATGTTCATTCTGAATGCCAGGATTCCCTGGTTTGTTGTTCTTCAAGACCATCTCTTGCAACACCGGCCATTCGGGGGCTGCGTCGAAGCCATGTTGGGATCGGGGAAGTGTGCTGTATGCCTTGAAGAATTTGGGGTCATCGTAGATGTTTTGGGTTGGTATGGAGGACATCTTGAAGTCTAATATAGGACTGACGGGATGAATTAGAACAGCCTTGGTGTTGACTGTGACAAATATACGGTTGAAGAAGAAAAGAACTATTCCGGATCAGGTCCCCGACGCGCTTACCGAATGGGGTAGTTGAACTCTAAAATTGAGAATCTCAGCATCTTGAATTATGAGATGACCCCCAGAACAAGATGACATTGCACTCACAACCGCCTCCATAAGCGTATAGAGATCTGCCAAGGGAGTCAATATCATCGAAGCTCTCAATGAGGATGTTCACCATTCCTCAAGCGCGTTAATTAACCCCAGAGCATTACATGCTATTACCTTGAGAGAAACCGCCCTGCTCCGCAACTAACTGTTCCCACTGGACCCATTCGTTCGGGTCCATCTCGAAAGATAGCAGGCTAGGGAAGTCATAGAAGTCGAGAGCTCCCCCATCGTCGACATTGCCTTCGTTACTCGGTGATTGAACTCTGTCTTGGTCACTCGTTTCCTGAATGGCAGATTGAGATTCCACAGCCCGAACCTTGGCTGTGGATGGTGACTCTATTGCTGGTCGTCGGCAGCGATTGATTGCATTGATATAATCGGGTGCTAATGGTTCCGGAACGCCGTCTGCCTTCAAGGCAGCAACATGGTCATCCCAAACCTCCAACGTCCACTTGCCTAGTGCTGTATATACAGGGCCGGTGGATCTTTCAAACACTTGAGGATAATATGAGAATACTGTTCCTATCAGCCTCCATGCCTTGTCAACGTCAGGCCCTGTTTTGCGGTGCCGAACTTCGATGAGCACGTAGAGTATCACATTCCAAAGAACGCTCGTTCCAAAATGCCACGTATATTTTTCCAGGCCGTGGGACCCTTCCTGCATAAAGATGACATAGTCTAGTAGCTTCATAGCGTTGACAAAGAATATGTTGCGCTCGCTTTGAGGAACTTTGATGGGGTTGTTGGCGAATTGTCGTGGATTATGCGCAAGGAGCTTCATTTTGCATATCGAGGTCCTGATCATGACTGATACGAAAGTATGAAGCGAGTCAGACGGGTCGCAGTACCGCAGATACTTCATTTCCAGCCGATCCTCAATGTGGCTGATAATGCTGTCCTTTTCCATGATCGTGATATCCGCGCAGGAGAGTGCCTCCCAGCGCAATTCACCGGGACACAATGTTGAAAATTTGCGCAAACTCTCCATAACCTCGTATTTGATCAAGGAAGGAGTAGTAGTGGTGATGCAGTGGCGTTCCAGTGGTGGATTGACCATGTCGGGGTAAAGGTCCTCGTCCTCGACATTTAGGGGCATTTGGTTATCGCAGCAGGAAAGATCCAGCGACGGTTTCGTGCCCAGCACCTCGGCCAGGCGAAAGTCCACATAAGCTAAATGCCACCAAAGTCGCCTTCGCATCTCGGTTTCGAATGGAGACAACCCTAGAGCCGAGCTATCCCGATGGAGCCCCATTTTGCGTGCAAGTCGTATGGCAACGCCTGATAAGACAAATAGGGTGTCGCATTTGTAGCTTGCTCTTACACACGCCTTCCTGTCGTGAGCTGAATATTAAAAACAACTTGGTAACGACAACTTACCGTGAATAATGCGTATGCTCGAAGGGTCGTCGGACTGGATGTTGATAAGAACCCTGCATTTGTTAAAGCTTGTCGAGCCGCGAGTCTATAGCGGGAGTACATGACTGATTTGCGTACTCCAAATAGATGTTGGCACTCATCTTCTCCCAGAGTAGAGATTGTCGCAAGGTAGAAAGCAAATATCACTGCTTCCAAGTCTGTGGGCATGCTTTGATGATCTCTCAGCCCATCAGTTGCTGCAGTCCAGAAAGTAGGAAAATGTAAGATTTTTATCATAGGGTCAACCCGATCAAGATAGATTTCCTTTAACTTTGGGAGCATCTGGAGCGAGAGGTGGAAGTTTGAAAGGCTCTTGGGCTTATCAATTTGTTCTGGTTCAAAGAACAGCCCACTGTCCTGAATGTTTGACTCATCAGTTGGCTCACCAACTTCCGGATGGTGAAGCTAATAATATGGTCAGAGAAAGAAATGATAAGGGTCGAGTGAAAACATACTCCATTTCCCAGGCTAGACCACGGAGCACTAACACAATTTAGAAGCCATTACTTTACAGCCGAGCGTAGTATCAAACATACCAATCAAAATACCTAGATGTGCCCTTATCAATGATGAGCCTTGGTTTAGTCTCTTCAAGGTTGGAGCGTTGGCTTGGAGGGGCAGCGTCCTCATCCACCTGAACATCAGACTGAGATGCCGTTTCTGACCCCGAGGCATCAAAATCTCCCGATGGCTCAAATTTTACGCCATAAGATTTCAACAATTCCTCATATCGCTGCAATTTGGCATGGAGACCTTCTCTGGGAGGCTTTGTTCTTTTTCGCTTCCCACGCACAGGAGGAATAAAGCTGCATTGCTTCTCTGCCTTGACGCAATTAGAGCAGGGAGTGCACCGGTCGCATTTGACCTTGCGCTGCCGACAAGCCAAGCATGAGTAGCTTTTCGGACCGTTACCTGGCTCCAGGTTATCCGACACTGAGGATCTCTTCATCATTTATGTGCCGTTTAGAGGCGTTGGAGAAACCGCAAGGGTTGTAGTGATAGAGAAGGTTGACTGTCTCGGGGCTCGGAAGTGAAAATGCAACTTTTGCGCCCCGAGAAGCGAATCAGCATCGGCATAGCGAAGCAACATGCTCATGCTCTTTATATTCTCACCCACTAGACCACCAAATAATTTTTCCATCATGTCTAAACTGTTCCATATCTATCATGGCTCGATTTTCACCAAATGGCGAGCAGCAGCCTCCCATTAGTCGGGAGGACGGCAGGTCCAGCGCAGAAGACATGGTCTATCCCACGGGTCTCAAGCTTGCCCTATTGTTGATGTCTATTTTTGTCGGCATGTTCCTAGTTTCTCTGGTGTGTTAGCATTCCAAAAGAAGCAAGCTTGCTCTGAATCTGTAAGCTGACTATATTAGGACCGCCTCATTGTCTCTACCGCCATTCCCCAGATCACTAATGAGTTTAACTCAGCGAAAGATATTGGCTGGTATGGCACAGCGTACTTGCTCACCAATTGTGCCTTCCAGCTAGTTTTCGGAAAGATATACACCGTCTTCAACGTCAAACCCATCTTTTTAATATCTATCGTTCTGTTCGAAGCTGGTTCGGCCCTCTGCGGCGCCGCCCCAAACTCGGTCACTTTCATACTAGGAAGGGCCATCGCCGGCCTGGGAGGGGGAGGTATTCTCTCTGGTGTTGTAAGTTTTGTATCAGATGCCCCTTTGTTTCTAGCTGGCTTGCTCACCCGACGGCACCTAGATCGTCGTCATTGTCTATGCTGTTCCGCTGCATAAACGGCCGAAGTACCAAGGCATCTTTGGTGCTGTATTTGCTATCTCTTCGGTAACCGGCCCTCTAGTCGGCGGTGCCTTCACTACAAATGTTACCTGGAGGTGGTGCTTTTATATCAACCTCCCCTTGGGAGGCGTGGTTCTAGTGCTTGTTTCCCTCTTGCTCCAAGTACCTGACCGTCCGGGCCTCAGGATACCTTTGAAAGACAAGCTGCGGCAGCTCAATATCTTAGGCCTGCTTGCCCTCCTTCCAGGAGTTATATGCCTGTGTTTGGCTTTGCAATGGGGCGGTACCACATACACTGTGAGTGTCTGCCCATGGTGCCTCCCTGCGCCGACCCAGTAGAGCTTACTGTGTCCAGTGGAGTGAGGCGCGCATTATAGCGCTACTTGTACTTGCTTTTGTGCTTCTGATTGTCTTTTTCCTGATCCAAATCTGGAAGCCAGAGCAGGCCATACTACCACCGCGCATCTTCGCCCAGCGCAGCATCGCATCCGGATTCTGCACGAGCTCCTGCCTCGGCGCGCACATGAATCTCTTCGGTAAGCCCACAACCTTGAACGAGGAACATGATACCATTCTAACCCCAGAAATGCCAGTATACTATCTTCCGATATGGTTTCAGGCCATTAAAGGTGTCTCGGCCGTCGACAGCGGCATCCACCTGCTTCCCATGTTAATACCCGTAGTTGCGGCATCCATAATCACCGGCCAACTAGTCTCCCTCATCGGCTTCTACACGCCCTTCATGATATTCGGCGTATGCCTCACAGCAATCGGCACCGGGTTACTCACTACCCTCGGAATAAACACCTCAGAGGGCAAATGGATCGGGTTCCAGATCATATACGGCTTCGGTATCGGGTGCTGCTCCCAGGCACCCAACCTGGCCGCACAGACGGTGCTAGCGCGCAAGGATGTGGCCATCGGCGCATCTCTCATGTTCTTCGGTCAGCAGCTCTTCGGCTCTGTTTTCGCCTCGGTTGGCCAGAATGTACTCTTCAACCAGTTAGCACACCGTCTCGCAGATATACCGGGCATCAGTCCACGGCTAATCCAGAGTACGGGCGCCACCGAGTTCCTTAATCGCGTCCCAGCTGAGGACCTTGTCATAGCTCGGGAGGCCTATAACGACTCCTTGCGCACATGTTTTCAGGTCGGTGTCATTATGGCCTGTCTTTCGGTGTTGGGCGCTTTTGGCATGGAGTGGTGCAGCGTGAAGCAGAACCTTCCAGCTAAAGAAAGAGATGGTCAGCAGGCTTCTGAGGAGGGCAAGTGTGATGGGACTTTGGGCGGGAAAGAAACACCGCAGGATGTGGTGACACACTCAGCCACACTGACGGTGGAAAAGACTGAGCAGAGGACTAAAGGAGACTCTGGGGGTGAAAATGTGAAGGACATGAAGGCCGCCGTTTAAGCAGAGTCTGACTGGAATTGGAGAGAGAAAGTTACGCCGCTTGAAGCTTCAGAATTTCTTGGTTAGAATAACAGGGCTATTCTTGGCTGGACGAGCGAATGGGCCAAGAAGATGGAAGGAAATTGTTTGATGTGTATAGTAGATATAAGTAATATAGACAACCCCACTCAGATATAGTATTATTGAAAACTTCTAATATTAGTCGTTGAATCAAGAGCATGGCATCCCTCGATGAAGGAGGATGGAAAGCAGAAGCTAATCTCGTATCACTATTCACAGGCTAATCAACTTCGTCTTTATCCTGCAAGAACTGGACAACGGCTATCTTGAAGTTAGTAGGCCTTTCACGTAAAAACCATAAGGTATCGACTTACCCTTTCTGAATTCCTCAGGCCGTTCCTGAACAATCCAGTGTCCACAATCTATATCTACAATGTGCGATTGAGGGAAGAAAGATGAGATAACGGGGAACGAACTCTCCGGTATATAATGACTCTGCAGGGCCCGAAGGAACAACGCGGGTTTGGGGAACTGAACAGGTTTGTCCTTGTGTGGGAAATCCCCCAACGGACCGATGGCAGCCCTTAGGGCATCTAAAGGAACACGAAGCTTCAGATGTGGGGAGTCGCGTTCTCGAACAAAATTACTCAGTAACCATAACCTCACAGACGGGGACTAGATGCAATTATTAGAAAGAATCTCGTTTCGGCGGAACAAATGAGCCCAATGCATACCTCCTCATGTCTGCTCAGGATCTTGTCCCCTTCTTGATGACTTTTGACTCGTGCGTCCTGTACTTCTTCCATAGCCCTGAGATACCTCGGAAACTCTTCCGTTAGCTCAAGGTGGATAGGACAGTTGTCGATAGCGACGACCTTGGATATCAGATCTGGGGACTGAAGTGCAAGCGTTAAGGCGGTTTTGGCCCCCCTAAAGACGAGAATCAATATGTGCTTTGGTATGCATGAAGCAACCCGCCGAGGTTGGTTCCTTACATCGAGTGACCAATCAATGTTGCATTATTCAGTCCATGGGTTTTGATGAAGTGTTCAACGTCTATTGCCATTTCCGTATAGTCATGCTTCGGGTGATGACCGGAATCGCCATGGTTCCGAAGATCCTACATCTCCGTCAATCGTTCATGCACCAGGCGTGGTTTGGGAGATAAAGTATACCAGACAGAAGACTTGGCGCGACAGATCGTGAGCCAAGATCCTTCACGTGAAGCCCGTCAGCACTCCACTGAAGTGGTCGGCAGGCAACTGTTTACGATAGAGACGTACTTGCCTACACCCCTGTTTTCGCGCTTGGACCCGAGGAATCCATGCAGGAATAATATTGGGTTTCGATTGGTTAAGTCTGATTGTGTACGGTTGGAGTTTTTAGGGGTGTGTAACTCATATGCCAATGGGACCCTCGAAGTTCTCGCTCTTGCTGGCGTATGTATGTACCTAACGTAGTTCCTCGCCTGCCTTGAAGCCATTGCCCATGGGGTATGCATGGATGTTGGTCCCTAGAGGAGAAAGTATCAAACTACCCACGCGCTAGTTTGAATGAGTATTAGTTGTCATTGGTCGAGAAACTATATAGACAAGAAATCACAGTGGACAATATGCCAGACTCGGACCGGATACCTAGAGTCTTAGACCCGGGTACTTAGACCCGGGAAGTTGAGCCTTTGCCGAGAAGTTGATGGTTGACTCCACTCGGCGCCGATAGTGGAGAAGGTCAGGGTTTGCTGAACCAGTGACCGTGTCAGGCCTAACGTAGGGCGTGGGTAAAGAAGCAGACTCTTAATTTTTGCGCCCTACATTTTACATTATTAATTCGATGGGTCTGATAATCTCACTAGGGGAAAAAAAAAAAAAAAAAAAAGCTCATGTTCTTTATTCTCTTTTCCGCCCTCCTAGAATTCTTATGGATTTCTTCTTGAACGTGTAGCCCGTAGATCATAGTAGCCAATAAGTAGAAGCAACACGAACCCTACCAATGAAAATTCTACAAGGACACATTGAGTCCTATATTTATAAGCAATTGAGATGTTATTCATGGTGTCATAATTGCTGAATATTATTAGTCCACCATGTCCTGTGACTCCTGTCTCTCTAGCGGTCACAGCGAACTCGGAACGAAGGCCGAGTTCTCCACCCATTTTTTTTCAGGCTCCTGAGAAATAAAATAGAGAATAGAGCCTGAAACAACTTCGAAAGACGAGGTGGTCAAGTTTAGATGCAAGATGGGCTCCCAAACGGATTCTGAGCTGCGCAAGACTTGCGATAGTCCAGAGATCTCTCCAAAGAACCCTTTGAGACCCTCAGTCTCGCGGAAGAGTATGGTGCGTCCATTTGACTTTTCTCTGGTAAGTCATAGGTTTATTCTATTCCAAGCCTCGTAATGTCACAATTCAGGTTTCAGATTGTTTCTTCAAGGAGACAGTAAATTGACTTGTACCATGCTTCAAGGCTCGCAAAGTTCATATCGTCGTTGCAGGGATATACTTCGTCTTCAACAGCTCCCTAGGTTCTTCCCTGCCATCGGGTGCTCATGATGCTATTGCAGACTATTTTGATATCCCACGGGACGACTTGAAGATGGTGCTCCCTACTTCACTCTACATGGCTGGGTTTGCCATCGGCCCTCTCATCTTTGGCCCTTTGAGTGAGCGCTTTGGCCGGAAACCTATCCTGGTTTCCACATTTGCAATATATAATCTCTTTACCATGGCATGTGCATTGGCCCCAAATTTCCCAGCTCTTCTGGTCTTCCGTTTTCTTTGTGGTTTGGGAGGCTCAGCGCCGAATGCAGTGCTTGGTGGCCTATTCTCCGACATATACAACGATCCTCACCAGCGTGGGATGGTGATGTCGATATTCATGTTCGCAACGACATTCCCCCCTCTCTTGGGGCCTATCATTTCTGGGTTTGTCTCCACTGTATCTTGGAGATGGACATTCTGGGCTGGCTTTATCATCGGAGGTGTTGGTTTTCCTCTCGTACTTGTAATACCTGAGACGTACATGCCAGTCTTATCTCGTGCACACGAAAAGGCTTTGGGCCAAAGCCAAGTTGACTCGGAAGCAGCCAAACCTCCCCTGCATGAACCCAAACTGTCAGATAGTATTGGCGTCGTTCTCAGCCGTCCCTTCACTATGATTTTTCAAGAGCCGATTGTGTTCTGTTGTTCGATGTACTTGGCTTTGATCTACTCCATACTGTATTTGTTCTTCCAAGCATACCCCATCGTTTTCCAAGGTACATACAGCTCCCGTGGTCGAACCTTTCAGAAATTGTCGCTAACTGCAGTCTGTCGCCAGGGCTATATGGGATGACACCAGGCGTGGCAGGCTTAGCCTTTCTTCCAAGTAGGTTGCATCCACCTCACACGTTCCATCACGCGCAAATCCTAACAAGAGATGTAGTTCTGCCGGGGTCAATCCTTGCATTTGTGCTTTTCTGTATATACAGCTCGTACCACACCAAGGCCTTGAAAAACGGGTTAGCATGGGCCAAAGTGGAAGAGTATCGCCGACTACCTCTCGCTTGCATCGCAGCACCCGCAATTCCCATTGCGCTCTTCTGGCTTGGCTGGTCTTCAAGATCTTCCATTCACCCAGTCATGCCCATGATGTCCGGGGTTTTCTTCGGATTCGGCTATCTTTTGATTTTCATCGCGCTCCTTAATTATCTGACCGATGCTTATAAGCAGTACTCGGCTTCGGCGTCCGCAGCGGCGAGTACATTACGGTCCATATTTGCCGTGTGTCTTCCCTTGGCTACTACACCCATGTACACCAAACTGGGTATTGACTGGGCTAGCTCGCTATTGGGATTCATTGCCATAGCGATGGCTATCATCCCATTTGTGTTCATCAAGTATGGGAGTTGGATCCGTGAAAACAGCAAATTCGCCCAAAGAGCGGCGCAGGGATATACTATCTCATGAAGGGATGGAGGGATGAAGAGCATCACGAGTAACGAATATTTCGACCTTTTAGCGCTTAGACATAGACCAAAAGTTTGCCTTCTTTAGATCATAGTACGGAAATGGAAAGAATTATATAATCCATCCCACCCACCTTTCTTCTAGTGGCAAAAGCACTGCTCCCGGGGCCTTTAGCACGAACACGGGGACCAGGAAGCCAACACATCCAACCTCCTCCCCCAAAATTAAGTGGCTCACCAGGTGGTTACCTAAGCTCCTTTGATATACGGCCCACGGAGACATGGACCATACCCTTCCCCACAGACCGCAATCCCCAACCTCGTCAAACGTGGGAACGTTGGGCTCCCTAGATCCAAGCTATCGTATGTCTAGCGCCCTGTCGTTAATTCTTGAGTTAACGGGCTTGTACTAGTGGCTGATTCTTTTCCTTTATCGGGACTTCCCGGTAACAACAACCGATTTGAGACCTTTGATGCAAGCATTATTGCCTTGCCAGAAAATGTGCACACTGAACCTGATTCCTATCTTATCTCTGCCAATGCAGAGTCATTCTTCACCGATGGGACCACCGTAAATTACACGCCTCCTTGTGCTTTTGAGCCCACTGCATCTTATCTTACCAAGGGGACCTCTATCAGTCAGCCTGTACCGCCAAATGGCGAGACCAGCTCGCTTACAGGAGCCTACGCCCATGGTGACAGCTATCCAGCTACGTTCTCTAATATTCCTTCACCATCCACCACAACTGGAAACGGGAGAGATCCCCTGCAGACTTCACAGGCGCCGTGCAATGCAGCTTTTCTGGAAGGACAGCAAAGTCTCCCCCGCCGCAGGAGCAGGTACATGATCAACAAGCATGAAAAACAGGCTGTGCCAGTGTTCATCCCGACGAGTATCCGCTCCCCAGATCCCCTCAGGCGCTGGCAGGAATCGCCCCCAGAAGACGAACCTGCCCCGTTGTCTGCCATCAGAGATGCAGTTCAGCACTCATGGTCCGAACGGCTAGTAAACGAAGGCTTCACAGCAGATGAGCATCAGCAAGGCATCTCCGATTCCCGATTAGTCGACGCTTTTCAAACATACCGTCAATCAGGATCCCGCGCCGCTTCGACGACTAGCGCTGAGAGTGGTGTGAGTGCGTCTTCTCGTATGACTGGATGCGACATGAGAAGTCGCTTCACTTGAATCTCGAAACCTGGGTATGCACGCCGTTTGGTGGGACAGTGGTGCTGCCATCAACCGGCCGAGTACACTGTGCCTATTGTAGCATGTTGGATCCCAAGCCTGAGCATCTCACAGAACATAATCATGGGGCTTGTGACGGTCAACAACGCAAGTTTCGACGCAAGGATCACCTGGTTCAACATCTACGTCTTGTTCATCGCATTGATAGTCTTCCGATAATCAGCGACTGGAAAGTGGAAGCTACCAACTTTACTTCTCGTTGTGGCTTCTGTGATCGCCAGATGATTACGTGGTCTCAAAGATGTGACCATCTAGCATGGCATTTTCGCAATGGCTCTACAATGGCTGACTGGCAAGGAGATCATGGGTTTCCCGACTCGATTGCAACCCAAGTTACCCATGCCGTACCACCCTACTTGATTGACCTCGAGTCACGGACCATGGTGCCTTTCTCCGCTACTAATGACCAGGTTAAGGATCATTTCTCTCAGATGTTGTCAAGGGCTGCTTTTCAGAGTGATACCAATGCTGGTGGCGATTACCAAGAGAGGTTGGAGTTACCTGATTTATTAGGTCAACTCCAAGTGCAGGACACCGGTCTGAATTCGTACACGCAGGTCCTGACTCGTCACTTGAGCCACTATGCAGAGGAGCAGACACGCCTCGGCATTGTTCCTACTGATGAAATGTTCCAACAGGAAGCACGTCGTCTTCTGTTTGACTCTGAGGATCCCTGGAATCAGACCATTGCGGATCACCCACAATGGCTGGCCGCTTTTCGAGAAACACAGAGCTCATCCATGACCTGACCAGACCATACTCTCAACCAATTGTATAATGTTTCACATTATGTGCAGCGTCAACTCCAAAGGGGACCATAATCCATGATTATCGAAGTATGCCATGCCATGCAAAGACGCATCTTGGCAACTGCCGATGAGTCATTCCCATAAGCTCTTCAAAGGCTCTAGATTTTCAACTGGAGACGAGAAAAGACCCGGATAAACCTTAGTCTGGCTTTATCGCGGGCTATTCATTGGCGAATAACTTAATGACTCCTGCAAACTCTCTTGCTCTGCATTTCGGACTGGGTTTGCAACTCCCCGGATGGAGGAAGTGGGTCAAAGTCTCCGAGGGCGTGAAAACACGCCCTACATCCTTGTCCCCACATAAATGTGGGTCCGTATACTATCTACACAGTTCGTATATGCGTTGGTTCTATGTGACCTCGTAACAACGATATCCTGAGTTGTAGTCAAATCCTGCCATCTTGGCGTCGGATGACGAGCTATAAATATGTTTAGCTGCAATATGGGGGAGCGTTCATCTTTCTCAAGTGTACAGCTCCAAAGCATCCCTGATCACTACTATCGCACATCATGGCTCCCTCCGCCATTGAGTCACAGAATGCCCCTGCTTTCCCCGAGAAACAGGCCGGCCAGCCTCTCGATGCCTCCAAACTGATCTACACCTATACTACCAATCCTCGCGATGTTCCCGACGAAGCAACGGCCAACTCCGGCGACGAAACCATCTGCACTGACCACATGGTCGTCGCAACCTGGAAAGTCTCCACAGGCTGGTCAACCCCGGAATTAAAACCCTACGGTCCATTGAATCTCATGCCCACAGCCTCCTGCTTACACTACGCTACGGAGTGCTTCGAGGGACTTAAGGTATACCGCGGCTATGACGGTAAGCTCCGAGTCTTCCGCCCAGATCGCAACGCCGCCCGCTTGAATATGTCCGCTAGTCGTATCTCCCTACCACAAGCCGACCCCGACGAGATAACAAAGCTTATCCATGCCCTCCTCGAGGTTGATGGCGCTAAATGGCTCCCCAAGGAGAGAGCCGGGAGCTTTTTGTATCTGAGACCAACACTCATCGGCACCCAGCCGACCATCGGTCTCGTGAAGTCCAAGCAGGCGATCTTGTATATTATCTTGAGCTATATGCCTCAACAAGACACGCCACCTGGTGGAATGAGACTTCTGACTTCACCAGAGGACATGGTGCGTTCTTGGGTGGGTGGATTCGGCTACGCCAAGGTTGGTGCGAATTATGGACCGTCAGTGCTCGCTACGCAAGACGCCATGCAACGCGGCTTTCACCAGATCCTCTGGCTATATGGCGATCAGGGCGAGTGCACAGAGGCGGGCGGTAGTAATTTCTTTGTGGTCTGGCGCCGCAAGGATGGCAAGAAGGAGATCATCACTGCGCCCTTAGATGACCGTCTCATTCTGGATGGCGTTACCCGTCGCAGCTGCTTGCACCTGGCAAAGGAAAGACTAAGTGACGAGTTTGAAGTCACCGAGCGCAAGTACACCATCAGTGAGCTAATCGAGGCCGAGGCGGAAGGTCGACTGCTGGAGTCGTTTGCTGCGGGCACAGCGGTAAGTTGTTCTTTCCTAGTTAGATGTCATACATGTTCATGCGCTCATATTGATCTAGTGGTTCATTACCCCTATCTCAGCGATTCAGCACCGAGAACATGGCATCGCTATCCCTACGGGACCCGATGGTGGACCCGGTGAGGTTACTGGTAAGATCAAGGGCTGGTTGAGCGACATTATGTATGGGCGGACAGAGCATGAATGGGGGGTTGTGGTGTCTGAGAGGCAATAGGCTATGGGACGATGCTTCCTTATCATATAACGAACATAAGATGAGTCACGCATAATTTAGGATGCACTTTTCGTAAGGATAGTATAGTAACCATCAAGAGTAGAGTCCACATGAAGCCCTGACCCAATGCGGTTAGCGGTCATGTGCGGCCTCAGGCAACGTAGGAAGCTTGGCTTCGGCGACATGTGAAAGTCGAAATCTCCGCCTTGCTCACCACCGATAAGGACAACGAGGCTCAATTATTCGACCCTAGCCGATTCTGGCCAGCGCCGCTTGCTGTCAGTCCCTCTCAACCGCATATTGCAGTTGTGCATCAGTCCAGGGGATGGCCACATGAAAAGCACCGTGACCGCAACACAACACCGCCGTTGAAACATGGAGAAATTCACTCAGTTCCGAGATCGAGGTATGTGCATCTCGTGAGATTACTGGCCCCTGTCATTGCTCAAGCTAACTAGTGGGACCGTCTAGGGTCGGGAATTGCACCTTTCCTTCCTATTCCACCGCAACCGGCCGGCTTTCAGTTGCCTTTACGCGTCTTCCTCTTCTTTTTCCGTCTTCCGCTGTTTCTCTTCGTTTGTGTTAGCTACTTCCTCGTGCTACAATGGCTTCCGATTGGATCGCTAGGGAAGAAGGCATCCCTGTGGTGTATTCTCGGGGTGCCCAGCATATGGTGGATTGATCTTCAAGTGGACGGTGTGAGGAAAGGGTGAGTCGCCTGCAGGCTACGTCCCCGAAAGTATAGGGCTAAGAGCCGAACACAGATCCTTATCGAAGCAACACCAAGCGCGTCTCCCAGGCCCAGGTTCCGTCATTGCCTCCTCGTTTACATCTCCTATCGACGCAGTCTACCTGGCTGCCATATTCGACCCGGTCTTCACCGCTTCCTACCCGAACTCGCGAAAGGTCGAACAGATATCCCTCTTCCAAGCAATTCTGCGCGCATTTGCCACTCCGCACACCAGCCCGCCTCCGAAAGCGCGCTTGGTGGATCTGGCGACCCTAGTTAAGAAATACCCTGGGCGACCTATCGTCACGTTCCCCGAATGCACGACCACCAACGCCCGGGGCATCCTCCCCCCCAGTCCTTCGCTGCTGAGCGTGGCCCCCAAGACTAAGATCTACCCGGTCAGCCTGCGGTATACCCCGGCTGATGTTGTGACGCCACTTCCCGGAAGTTATGTGAGTTTCTTGTGGACGCTGCTCAGCAAACCCACGCACTGTATCCGGGTGCGCATTGCCGAGGGTGTGGTGGGTGGAATTGATGCAGAGGGCGGTCCCACTACCCGAAAGTCTACGTATGATACCAACTACTTGGATACCCTGGACAAAGATAGTGCGTATGAATCCCTGGATACGGAGGATGCGGAGTTGACGCGGGCTGAGAAGGCCCTGTTGGACAATGTGGCAGATTCTCTGGCGCGTCTGGGGAGGGTCAAGCGGGTTGGGTTGGGGCTTTCGGAGAAGAAAGATTTTGTCCGAATGTGGACGAAGACACGACGGACATGGTAACGAAATTGTATATTCTTAGGTAGCATCATAGGGGGGTATCCCCAGTAGGTTGAGTCTATACTAGCTTTCGAACCAGCACCAATGATCTAGAAAAAAAAAAAAAAAAAAAAAAAAAAAAAAAAAAAAAAAAAAAAAAAAAAAAAAAAAAAAAAAAAAAAAAACTGGACCAGAGGCGAGACAGCACCCTTGCTGGTGCGTGAATGAAGCACATAAGAGATGGTGGAATGGACAAGAAATCAGTACATATTCTCGACCGACCGAATCTCGCCGATGACCCTGCATGATAGCGCCAATAACAGCTTGGAGTAAACGACCTCAAGACTAGGGGTCCCGCCATCACCTGATATGTACATCTAGTCGGGATGATTATAAAAGACAGTCCTAGCGTACGCAGGAAGCGCCCTCAAACAATGAACTCTTGGCCCCCACTCCCAAGAGACGAGGCTGAACTGCAGGTCAAAAGCCCCCGCTAACCGACCAACTGCCATTCTACTAAGTAAACTCCGTCTTGAAGGCTTATTTTCTGGTTCCTGTCATCCGGTCCCTGTCAGTTTCCGTGGGTTCATCCTTAATGTGTACGCCAGCCTTGCCCAGACTCGCGTAATTACCAGCCACACCACCCCCATAACATGAAGAGGAAGACATAGCTGTCAGGATGGGGTTCAGGCGTCGCAAAGAGAAACTACAACCAGCTCAAGGACCGTCTTCTGTAGGGCATACACGCTCCACCTCGTTGTACACCATCCCAACGGCAGCGTCCACTGTTCACTCTCTGTCCACGGCATCAACAATCTATAGCCACGACAACAACACAACCACATCGCTCAGTCTTTCCGGGACGACCCTTGTCACAGAGGGATCATCCACGGACTCCTCTGGCCAATATGGAATTCAGGATCCAAACTCGCGGAAACAAAAAGCCAGACGCTCCCTCGCAAAGTATAGGTCCTATGCGGATCTCTCTAATGCAATCTCTCAGACAAAAGCTAAGGCCAGCGATTCAAAATTAAAGGCGCGGAGCTCTGTCATAAATCTTGAGCAACAGATGCGCGAGTACGTGACGAATGTGACGCACTCGAGTGTAGATCTTTACGGGAGCATGCTGAAGAAGTTGGATGATATGATTACCTCGATGGATGAGGGATTGTTTAGAGATAAGGAGGATATGGGTATGTTTTCCCTTCATCATCGTCTTGTGATGATTAGTGTCGGGTCTGTTTTCCATCGCCCCTGCATGCTAATATGCATATCTAGTCACGGTATACGGTGACGAGGTCTCATACACGAAGACAGGGACAGAGAGGGAGGTGAAAGCGACATCAACAGGCCCCAGTTTCTTCTCGAAGACCTATCTGTACCACAACTCCCGGCTCCCGGCTCACCTTCCTCCAGTGCATATGTACGCATCAACCATACACTCTATTTAGCTATCCATGTGGATCTAAACTCACATTACAGACTACCGCAAACATACGCCCTCATCCGCCTAGCTGCCCAGTACTCCAGCTCAGCCTACAAAAAACCTGCAGAGCTCACCACGACCAACAACCCCTACGTGAGCGCCAACATCCGTCACGGAACGAAGGCAATGGTAATCAAGCCACTCGCATCAGACGATCTCAAGAGCATCGTCCTCGCAATCCGAGGAACTCAAAGCTTCCGCGACTGGGCCGTGAACATGAAAACGCTGCCAACAGCCCCACAGAACTTCCTCGACGACCCCGACAACCTCTGCCACGCAGGATTCCTTACCGTGGCACAGAGAATGGCCCCTTCCGTCGCGGCGTATCTCCGCGATCTGCTAACCGAAGACCCCAATCGCGCGTCATATTCGCTGATCCTGACGGGCCATTCTGCCGGCGGCGCAGTGGCCAGTCTGCTGTACTGCCATTTGCTCTCAACGAGCGTGTCGTCTGAACTGAAGCACTTGGCTAGTTTCTTCGGAAGCATCCATTGCGTGACATTCGGCGCCCCGCCAGTCTCTATCCGACCACTATTCCCAACGAAGTCCCCAGCATCACTAGAATCGATGTTCTATGCGTTCATCAACGAAGGCGATCCCGTGCCCCGGGCCGAGAAATCCTATGTCACCTCATTGTTGAACCTGTACTTGTCGCCTGCCCCGTTCTCTCTCGGCACAAGTCGAACATACCCCTTCGTCAGCAGACAAAACAAACCGGCCATCTGGCGTGTGCCACCAGCTACGCTCCATCTCGCCGGGAACGTAGTCCTCCTGCGACACCAATCGCAAGACCCCCTCTTCAAACCCTCGCACAGCGTCCAGAAAGACGAGATCGAAGCCTGCCAAATCCCCAACGAAATCATGCACGATGTCGTCTTCGGAGACCCCGTAAAACACTGGATGGGTCTGTATCAAGAAAGAATAGAGCACCTCGCCCGCAGGTCGCAACAGCCACCTCCCTATCAGGATTAATGCAGCGCAATCCTATTCTAAGCCAACAACTCCCTCCCAATATGTAGACCTAGAACCTCGTAAGCTAACACAGCATAAATCTATATATATTAGTCCTTGGGAATCTCGCTACTGCATCATTCGGGAATCCGTGAATGTCCACGGATGATTATAGTTGTTCAGCTACAAGGTATTGGGTTATTGTAGTGTACTGTAACTATATTGGGAGAGAAGGGGTACTGAGTTGTAGGAACGGAGATGGATTTATGGGTTGGCATTCTGAGGATCTTCATGATGGAACTACCACCGTCTCACGCAATGTAATTAGGGGGTTTTTGTTTTTTTTTTTTTTTGTTTTTTTTGATGGTGTACATTGAGGATGGGATAACCAGCATATAGGTATATTGGTTGTTTCTAAGGTCAGTGGCGCAAAGGAGTTGGATAAGATTTGCGTTTAGAGTATAGGAGCTGAATATTCAATGCCCCGTTGGTGTCCCCTACTTAATTGGCGATCAGTTCGAACTCGATTAATGAAATTGATAAGGTATCATGTTAATGAATGCTCCTAATAACAACATGAGAGTAAAGGAAATACTTTTCAATCCTTTTGGTTCGCCTATCCAAGCAGCATAACGAAAACAATATATTAACCCGGACATTTATTCCACCCCAATCAACTCAGGCGGGAAAAGATGCATTGCTTTATGATGGCATCCTGCGCAGTGATAAAATACACCCGACAGCTTGACACTTAGTCAAGAGCATCGGTGATACAGCCGTGGCTGGCATCCTTGACAGTTCTGTTGGAGCGTGTTAGTAACCGAGACCAAGACACATGTATTCTATCGGGCAGAGATAACATACCTGGCGTACTTGCCGAGGGTTCCTCTCATGGTCAAACCGGTGGGAGGCAACTTGCCGGCCTCCTTATCGGCTTCCCATTGCTTGCGTCTCTCAGCGAGAGTCTCCTGGTCAACTTCGAGGTCAAGAGCGCGCTTCTCGGCATCAATGACGATGACATCGCCATCCTGAACGAGACCAATGGGTCCACCAACGGCAGCCTCGGGGACAATGTGGCCGATCAGGAAGCCGTGAGAACCGCCAGAGAAACGTCCATCAGTGATGAGGGCAACCGACTGTCCAAGACCATAGCCCATGAGGGCAGAAGAAGGCTTCAACATTTCTATCCCACGATTAATGATTAGCTACGTCAACCAGAGGAATCTGCACTCTCGATACGTACCGGGCATACCAGGACCACCCTTGGGTCCAGTGTAGCGGATGACCACAACGGTCTTCTCTTCCTTCTTGATCTCACCGCGCTCCAGAGCAGCGATAAAGTCATCCTCATCATCGAAGACACGTGCCTTACCAGTGAAAGAAGTACCCTCCTTGCCAGTGATCTTACCAACACTGCCACCCGGAGCCAGGGATCCCTTAAGAATCTGGATGTGGCCAGTCTTCTTGATGGGGTTGGACAGAGGGCGGATGATCTTCTGATCTTCGGGGAAGTCGGGCACCTTCTCGAGGTTCTTGGCCAGAGTCTCACCGGTGACAGTCATGCCGGAACCATCGATGAGGCCTTCCTTGAGCAGGAACTTGAGCAGCGCGGGAGTACCTCCGATCTTGTGCATGTCGGCCATGACGTACTTGCCCGATGGCTTCAGGTCAGCCAAGAAAGGAATACGGTCAGAGACAGACTGGAAGTCCTCAATATCCAGCTTGATACCGACCGAATCAGCGATGGCAATCAAGTGAAGCACGGCGTTGGTCGAGCCACCGGTGATGTTCACCACAACCATGGCGTTTTCGAAAGCTTGACGGGTCATGATATCCCTAGGGCGGATGTCCTCCTTCAGGAGCTTCTTGATCGCCTCACCGACTGCCAGACACTCAAGGTCCTTGGCGCGGGACTCGGCGGGGTTGGAAGAAGAGCCAGGGAGAGTCATACCAATGGTCTCAATGGCAGTGGCCATGGTGTTGGCTGTGTACATACCACCGCAGGCACCACCTCCTGGGCAGGCGTTGCGGATAATGTCGAATCGCTGAGGCTCGGTAATGTCGCCGCTCAAGAACTGTCCGTAGGCCTGGAATGCGGAGACAATATCAATTTCCGCATTGTTTTGGGTAACGGCACAGCCGGGCTTGATGGTGCCTCCGTACAACATAATGCTCGGCCGGTTGACTCTGCCCATGGCCATCAACACGCCGGGCATGTTCTTGTCGCAACCCGGGATACTGATGTTGGCATCGTACCACTGACCACCCATAACAGTCTCGATGGAGTCGGCAATCAAATCACGACTCTGGAGAGAGTACCGCATACCCTTCGTACCCATGCTGATTGCATCACTGACACCGACAGTGTTGAACTGCATGCCGATCAAGCCTGCCTTTTCCACACCTTGCTTGACGCGATGGTTGAGATCGAGCAGATGCATGTTACAGGGGTTACCGCTATACCAAACGGAGGAGATACCGACTTGAGCCTTGTCCATGTCCTTCTCCGTGAGACCCGTAGCGTAAAGCATAGCCTGGGAAGCACCCTGCGAGATAGGCTGTGTGACATGGCGGGAGACCTTGTTCAGGGCGTTGTCGTCCTCAGAGGAAGAGGCCTTCTGCTTGGGGAGGGTAGTAGAGATGGGACGACTAGAGAAAATAATAAATAAATCAGCAACCTGCCATCGGTGAGTGGGAAACGGCATTTCGTTCGATCGCCTTACACATTGACGGCGGACCGCCTGGAGAGGCTCCGCAGAGCAGAGGGCATGCGCCCCCGAGTTTGTGAAAGAAGCATGATCGCAGCTGGAGGGGGGAGTATGGGGTCCGTGGAAACAAGACACAAGTGTAATTGAGAACTCAATTGAGTGAGAATAAATAGCTTCTGACCTCTACAGAAAGTGGAGCGGGTCGCCGAGAGTGACGCCCGTCCTCCGCAGCGAAGTCGGGGGCCGGAGTTGGCCTCAGGCTCCCCGATGCCGGTTGGCCCAATCCCGTGCCGTAGTTTGTCAGCACTCAGGCCAATCATGCGTCATGGACTACAACAATTACCCACGAGTATACATAAACAGCAATGGACCTCTAATCATCTTCACGAATGTTCTGTATTGTGTTTAAAATTAATTATTATACACTTAAACTCTTTTATGAAACCATCTAGAGCCTGCAATTGCTGTCTTCTACCACCCTTTTTGCTTGCGGTCTTGTCATGAGTATTGTATATCCGTAAAAAGAGAAATAAAGAGAACAAAAAGAAAGAAAGTATAGATAAAAGCGGTTAGGAAAAGCGGAAACAGTTCTAAGGGTATACCGGTCCTTTGGGCTAGCCAAAGTAAGCGAATGATATGAGGAAGGTATAGAGAGGAAGAAAAGAAGAGAGAAAAGTGGGAAGAAAGAAGACAGGCGGAAAGAAAAGGGAAAGAAGAAGATACAAAAAAGAAAGGAGAGGGGGCGAAAAAAAGAGTAAAGAAAAAGAAGAGAAGAGAGACAGATACAGGAACACTATCAATGCATCATCCCGATGGCCATCTCTGTATCGCGTAGCAAGGCAACATAGAAAATCGGCAGGAAGAGTGGCGAAATATAAACCAAGAGACCAGCTCTATGGTACCTCTTTGTCACCTCTCTTCAACCCACTCGGTACGTCGATTGCTTTCGCAACCCACTCGATGGATGCGATCTCATCCAAGCTTTTGCGTTTAGTATTCCGCTTTAGGAGCCCTTCAACGCACTCACGGGCCCCCTCTAGATCTTTCCCCTTCTGGGGATCCCATTCACCGTCACTGTCAGCATACCGATACCATGACCACTCACATCGCGCAATGCGGTGTGGGGTACGAGCACGGAGTTTCGCCGGGTCACCTCGAGTACCCGGCAAAGCATCGAATGGTAATCTGTTTTCCATCATCGCATAGAGCAAGACGCCAAGGGCCCAGCCATCAGTGGATCGCCCATCATAGGGTTGTCCCATCAGAATCTCCGGAGCGGCATAATCCTCGCTTCCACATCGGGTTTGGAGGAGCGGGCTCTCCGGAGGTTGCGGAATTCGTCTGGATAGGCCCAGGTCGGTAAGGGTAACGACCGCGCGATCGTATGTACGCCAGTCAGTTATCTCCTCCATAGCAGCGGGAGGAAGAGTAACTAGGACATCTGTAGTTGGACCGACTGTTAAGCACTATAGTCAACCCAGGCCACGGTGGGATCTCTTACTCTCAAGTTTAATGTCGCGATGGACTATGAAGTTGGCGTGGAGGTAGCGCACGGCAGCCACCAACTCAGAGAAAATCCGTCGAATCAGCTCTGGGCTCATGGGCCTCGGCCCAGAGGTTGCGACGTCGAACAGGTCACCTCCCGGGCAGTAGTCCAAAACCAAAAGAGCGCGCTTTTCGTCGCTTCCAAAAGCTTTCAATTGCACAAGGGAAGGATGGTTGACCGACTTCAAGATGTCCACTTCCCGCTTGAGTGATACCTCCAATCGTTCCTCGTCAGCTCCACCCGCTGGGCCATGCTCAATGACCTTAACAGCGACAAGCTTTTGCGTAGCGGCATTCACCCCTTGGAGGCTCGAACTGTAACCAGATTCCATATCCCGCAGTTCCATGCGTACTGCTAGACATACTTGACTAAAGGTGCCCTCTCCGAGCTCGCGCAGTTTGCGATACTTGCGCGGCTGCTGGGACCGAATGGAACGTACCGAGTATATTTCATCCGAGCCATCCATGGATTTTGGACTGACTATGACAGGCTCCACATCACCATCAGATGTACTGCGACTACTTCTTGGCGGCGTCGGAGGACGGACTGCAGGTAACGCGATGCCGCGATGAATTGCCAGGTGTTGTTCCCGGTGCAAGTTGTTTGATTTCGAGTCGGTACTTGACGATGAAAAAATCCCTTGAGACACACCCGATCCCGAAACTGCGATTGGACGCGGCTTGATCGGGATGGCCTTCGTCGGAGGGACATACTCACTAAGGCTACGATTACGAGCATGCTTCTGAGCTCCATCGGGGCGTGGCTTGCTGGGTGTCTCTAGATGCTTGTCAGCACCCAACATCTCCGCCATGCCACGTTGCTTGCTGCGCGATCGGCATTCCGAGGGCCCCAACACTTGAGATGAGTCACTTAAACGCAAGCTCAGGCTCGAGCCGTTCCGCGAAAGAAGGGATGGAGTCCGCGATAAAGATTGTGAATTGCGGCGCGGTATTTTCCATGGCGAGACGCCACCAATCGGCGAAGGCAAGGGAGTGATGTCTCCCATGGCCATCAACTGTGGCGACGACAGTAACGATGCTGGAGACAGGGAACCTCCTCCGGAGGAAGGCCTTTCGAGAAAGCCACGCAAACTCGATGTTCTTCGCGGAAGGCTGCTCGATGAGAGGCTGTGATGCATGAAAGGGTCAGATTCTTTCGACGGGCTCAGTTGCGTTGTGCACGGCAGGTCTGTTCGTATCTGAAGCGACGGAAGCGGCTGTGGAGCCCCGGGGTAACATTGGTGAATCGCTTCATCCTTTATACTCGGTGAGAATTCTCCATTCAAGGATAGTGGAGAGCAAACATTCTCTTCTCTAGAGCTCACTGAAGGCACCGAAGAAATTTCATTGTTACTCGAAGCCGTTGCAGCAGAGGCTTCGTGTAACAGAATAGGTTGTTTAGCAAACAATGCTGACCGATCGGTCGGTTGAGACGAATCCGGGGAAATCATCGAACGAGTCAGAGGGTTAAGTGCTGCGATATCCCAATGGCTCTATGTACCGGAAGGGTACTGCTGTCGCGGCGCAAAGTGGACCCAAAGCGCAGTTGTCACTCGAACTAGGCGGGTAACCGCTACCGAAAAGGTCCCTCGGGTTAAACTCTAAGTAGACCAAGCTGGACTTGGTGTGCAAAAGGCCCTCAGGCCTGGAGTTCTGGTCGAAACCGGGAGTGAATAGGAATTAATGGGCTGTGTTATCAAAGCATCTGGGATGGGGAAGGAAGTGGCGAGGATAGGAAAGGGAAGAAGAGGAGAAAGATAAGATAATGGTGAAAAGGGAAAGGAGATTGGGGGTTACTTTCTTTTTTTTTAATTCGGGGAGTAAGAGGAGGCAAAACTAGGGTCGGGGACGGGATGGTTGTTCTTCCCCAAGGGCTAAATCCACTTCCTCCCGGGCAGTATCCATGCACAGCGTTAAGTTTCGCTGCTGCTGCTACTTTGGATGACGCTACAGGAAAAAAACCCACGCGGGGTCAGCTGATGACCGCTCCGTTTTAGGATTAGTGGCCACGAGGTGAAGGACTCAACAGGATTTAACGCTACCCCGCATCCAGTAATGCCGTTGGCGGGAAGACCAAAAGAAGAACTACTGTTCCTTTCCATATCAAGATCGTCTCAGTCCTTTTTGGTAGTGTTCCTCCCAAATTCAGGCCCGTCCTGGAAATGGAAGCTTTATGAGGCTTAGTCTTGTTGGGGATCGTGGGAAGGGTTCGGAGTACAGGGGGCAACAATTAATTGAGGCACACTGAAGTCAGTGGCTGGATTGTGATGGATCATGACTGACAGGAGACTTTTTGGCGGGACCCACTCTGTGGGTTTTCTTTTCTTTTTTTTTTTTTCTTTTATCTTTTTTTTCTTTTTTCTTTTGTCATTTTATTTTTATTTTATTTGTTTTTGGTACACATACAGTGTATCATTGATCTATTTGTTTGAATGATAATCAGATTTTCTTTCTTTCATTGACCGTGATTAAAGTGGTCGTGCCTTGCATATCCTCTATAGAGATCGGGCAACCTGCCCACTACTAGCAGTATGTTGCGTTGTGTTGCGCTGCACAAAACGTTTATTTATCCTTCAATTCTAACAGCGCTATTGTCTATCCTTGCCTCTCAACAAACCCAGGGACTTCAGTAGTATTATTTACTACTCGTACCGTTGCAGATACCTATTTCCCAATCGGGGAACCAGCGAACTGCAAGAAATCCCAAACGGGCAACGTGCCCTGTTTCGGACATCCAGGTGATTGTAAAAAGGGAAAAAAACCCGCAATGACATTCGTTGAATGGCAAATGATCCATGGATCGCGAGTGGCCCAGTCCTATCCAGGCTAAGCTTGAATTAAGTGAAACTAAGCCGGATTAGGTCTCAGAGACCGGGAAAGTGGTTCGTGAAATCCTAACACTAAAACAACCCCAATTGCAAATGCGAGCAACCAGATGTTCTCGATTCCCGCATTCCGATTTCCCAATAGTCGATGGGACTCGAGTTCATGCCGAAATTTCGGGTCAAACCGCATTCCATGGTTTCAAATCTCCGACCCATTTTCGGCGTAACGAGTCGTTATTTATCATCTGTCGAGTTGATTTGACGCACAGTGCACATCATCGGCCACACTACCTTAGCGTCTGCGTTAGTCTTCCTGAGGGGGCAAATTTAACTCCGTCGGTTGTACAGAGTACCCTGAATCTGATCGCTCTGAAATTGTGAAGGATTATCCTCGGTTACTTGCCTCATGATCGACAACTGCCCTCAAAGTCTACGTAAGCTGTGTGATACTCACCAGGTTTGCTTTTCGGTCCTTCAGATCTGTGATTCGTCACAGGAGAAATTGAAACAGGGATCGCTCGACGATCGCCAAGACAATGAGCTATTGAAAAGGCCCCGTTGACCCAGCATTTCGGGCCTACGGGCGCATTTCTTTCAAATGAATGGCTGGAGAGCGTTTTCTTGGCAGGCATGCCTGGTTGACTAGTTCCGGTTGGTCAATGCCATGATTATCTACTCCACACCTCTGTTGCTGACTCGAAGTCGATTAAAGATCTGCCGATGATGCTACTCTGTAGATTGCGCGGATGACGTGGATCAAAATCTTGTCAATTTATGAGACCAATGTCCCTGGATCTTGGAAGGATAAATACTTGCCAGAGGCCTCGCAGAAACATCCACCGGGATT